ATTGTTATTTTTAGGTGTAGTTTAATATTAAATTCATACACTGCTTGGCGTGTATCTAATAATTGGAAGTATGGAGTATACAAGAAGTATATCATGTGTACAAAGCCCAAAATAATACCATGGATAAGGTTAACAAACGATGAGATTTGGTGGAGCTGTGGTAGTGAAATTCTTTGCTTTAGTCGCAAAATGATAGTGAACAGGATTCGGAAAGGTTTATGTAACCATTATTATCAGCAACTTTCTTCATCTCAAAATGACATCTATAGATTCCTTCTTTGGAAAAATTACGTTATATGTAGTTATAGGTAAATATTTATATAGCTAATCATATTATATCATAAACTATTGACCACCATAGGATCATAGGATAGTTCTATAGTGGTTAATACAATGATAGTTTACAAAATATTTTATATTTTATCTCAGAAATATGCTAAAATATAATTTAAAATCTTCTAAACTTGATTTTTCAATAATTTTTCTAATTCTTAACTTTATATGTAAAGTAATTAATGGAATCATATTAAAAAAATAATAGAATTTCATTTAAAAGAGCAGAGGTGCCCTTCATATTTTGTTGACACCTTTACCTAGAAAAAAAAACAACATGACCAAGATACATCTCTCTCAAAATCATTCTATTTTGATCTGAAACTGAATTTTTTTCATATCATCAAAAACAAGTAAAAAATATTCAAGGTGTTTGACTTAAATTTTTTACTCACATTATATGATCTTTTATTCTTCACAGGGATGGTAGTATAACCTACTTTTTGAAGAATACCTTTAATACTCCAGTTTATAGGATAGATAATGATATAAATACATGCTTTTCTTCTATTAGAGCTATAGATGCTACTTCAGAATATGTTATTTCAAGTAATGAAAGTGGTTTAATATCGGTAAGGTTTAAAAAATTTGCTATCTAATGTAGTGATAATAAGTGTAATGTAAAATTTATTTATTTAGATGCAAAAACATCCAATGATAAGTACGTCGTGTAACAGACAAGTTCTCACTATAAATGGTTTGAAAATGGTAAAATCGCTCTCAGTTGATCCTACGGAAACAAAATTTGCTGTTGGCTCATGCGGAACTGGCAGTACAAAGATATCACTGCATATAGTCAATATTGAACGGTATGCATAATATTGCAATTAATTGCTATTAAATGTATATTAGAACATACAGGAATACATATTAAGACATTAGGAATACGATTTTGGTATGTATTTAAATAAGTTACAAGGAGCTAATGGAAAGATTTTAGTTATAAACAGATCGATACAATGCAGCATCAATGGAAACACGGCGCTGGAATTTTAGATATGGTATGGGATGATCCACATACTTTACTCACTTGTGGCTATGATACATATATTCGAAAATGGGATTTAAGGTAATACATATCTTGACTATGTTCTCAAGCATATCCTAGTTCGGTTGTATAATGTTAACAATAATAATTTCAGAACTCAAAAATGTGTTTGCTCGTGGGAGGATCCAACTGATGCAGCATTATATTGTCTTTCGTCCGATCATCGATATACTATGGTAACAGGAACGCAATATAATTGTTTGGCTGTTTTATGGGATCAGAGGAAGACTAATTTCGTTCAGGTTCTTATTAACTTTAAATTGACATATGCGGTTTGTGAATTAGAAAGAGTTGACAAATTTTTTTCAATATTTCTAGCTGTATTATGTGAATCCGCGAACATCATCTACACGCAGTCCGATCTATTCTATACAATTTGATAATACTCATCTATATTGCGCCACAGATCAACACTTGATCACATTAGACTTCTTAAACTGTTCACAAAAGAATAGATTTGATTATAAATCATTGTATATTGGTCCATCATAGAACACTTGCAAGAACAACAGTTTGAACTATAACCAAATATCTCATATTAAGGCCAATACTTTAGAACGCGTTGCTGTGATTAAGATTGTCTTAAGTATAGATTTAAGATATAAATCAATGGAGTTATATTAGTTTGAGACATTTAAGACTATCTTGAAATAAGAACAGGCTATGAATTGGTCTAGAGGTTCAATTGCAAGTACCATTTGTGATATGAGGAAACATGGAAAAAAACATGAAAGTAATTAAATTCTAAGAATTGAATGATGTAATATATCTGATAAAAACTGCATTTTGTAAAACTAGTGATGTTTTTACTATAGACTATAATGAAACAAATTGCAATTATCGTACTATATGTACGTAATTGTATGTTGATATCTTATAATTATAATCTATACAAAAGATCTATCTAAATGATTTATGTTAATAAAATTTTTTCTAGATACTTTTAAGTATACATCTATTTATTTATAATTTGACATATAAATAAAAATGATTTCATATAATAAAATCAATTGTATTATAATAATATTGCATTACAATTTATTATTACGATTTGTACATAAAACATTTTCCCCCATGCATATACATAGAATAATACAGTCATAAAAAATATAAGATATAAAAAAAATTTTAAAACAATGGCAGTAAAGAATCTATTGAATCAATAAATTTCGCAATACTTTAGATTATAACTATTAAATGCGAAGAGACTGATATAACAAAATTTTGGGATGTTATGAAATAAATATATTAATCAATTACATATTTTACATAAACATTATAAAATACTATATTAATCATTTTGGATAAAACAGAGAACAATAATGATTTATTCTATTAGTGCCTGCAAAATATATTCTACATTTTTTTTTCATTAAAAGTGAACCTTTTATTTAGAAGAAAGAAGAGATACTTTTATAACTCAAAAAAATCAATATTAATAAATAATTCATTAAATTAATTTCTGAAAAGATTATTTACACTTCCTTTTATTAATGAAAATTAAAAGATAGGAGAGGCACTTCTTATCTTTTTAAATTGAAATATTTTAAATCCACCTGCGATGCGATTTGTTATTACACACATGATTTACAGATAATAAAAGTTCGGTTACATCAACGTTAATCGGCCTTACTCGATTTTATTTAAAAAGAATTCTTATATATATATATGTTTATATTTATTTAAATAAATTATATAAAAGCCGACCGACGGAGTGCAACTCTAAATCCATTAAAAGCGTATCATGTGCACTGATAACAGTCTTTTTTTTTATAGTAATAATGATATATATTATATTATCATGTCCTGTTATATCAATCAGGATAATTCTGACACGGAAGTCAGGATTGTGTAGATTTTTGGAACCCTAATACAAAGATAAGGAGAAACCCCTTTATTAAAAGACATTGCACTGTCATATTTATCCGAGTCACAATTATTCTGTAAAATCTAGAACTCGTTAGCGTGCTCGATAATTAAATAGGAATTTATACTTTGAAAAAGTTTTTAAAGTTGCGTATATATTTAACTAATTAAATAATTAATTCCGATAAAAGTATGTTTATAGAACTCACATTTTTTTCGATCCATTGAAATAAATTATTTATCTACATAAACGTAATAGACTTGGAAAACTCATCATAGACGGCACGCGTAATTGTCATTTGCACGAAGAGAAATTTATATATAAGTTATTATACACAGTTTAAAAAATAATTTATATTTATCGTGTAAAGAAATCTATGTAGATTATGTTAAAAGGCACGATTTATTGAAATCTCTTTTTAAACAGCATGCTATAGAGAATTAAAATTTTCGATAAAATTTCCTATATTAAAATCTGATACTGTTATATAATACTGTTATATAATTTATAGATGAAACGTCTTTGAAATATATCCGAAGCGTTTTGATCGAATATACGTATATCTAATATTTTTCTCGATGTATCTTATAATAAAGCACTTTTCTTCAATAATTGCTTATGTATGTAGCAACGACGTTATCATCATTTGTGAATCATATAGTGATATATATTTATATAACGGGACATATAGTCGTCCATAATGTTTTTTAGACGATGTCAGCTCGATACACGACTGTCGCATGCAAATTCATTGTCACTCGAGTGGACCATTTTAGACTTCTTGTAGCAAATATGTTTCATATTATTGTATTTTTTGATGAGCTGAATATCACCCTTGTTTCTATTAATATTAATTATTTTCAGCAATTTAGTATTCCATCATCATTCATCGCTAAACATGCATATATAATAAAATTTGAGATAAATGTATTAATATTGATACTTTGATGCAGCAGTAAAATGTGTAAGATAATGAAGAATAAAAAGATAAAAGATGAAAGTTGTTTAATTTTTTCAATCATTCATATTAAACATGTTTTTTGATATTATAGAAAGATTAAAAGCAAAAAAAAAAAAACTATTTATCATATATTACTTCTTTTTTAAGACAGTTATAACTAAATTATGTTTTTTTTACCGAACTGTTATGAGTAAAATTATGCTTTGTAAAAAATGATGCGGATAAGGATAATATATGCAATTATTGTTTAAAAACGCAAATTCAATACAATGACAAAATGACATGTTTGACATGTTTCAATGACAAAATTGAGAAAGAATCGTTAGTAAATGCGAAAGCATAGGAGTAGCGAGTAGAAAATAAAAAGAAGCATCGGATATCTGCAAAAATCTGATTTTTAATTCAACAAAATCGTATCAAAACGGGAGAAACGAGTGAAAGATGAACCTTATTCAAAGAGGTGCAACACAATTGCGTACATAGAAAAAAAAAGAAAAAAAATAAAAACGAATAAATTTTCCTACAATCCGCGCCAGAATCGTAGACCATGTACTTTTCCATTTCGTCAACCGTTAAACAGTCCATGTGAGCGAAATACTTGACAGCCGCTCGCTTCGGCTAATAGAAAAAATTCACTCGATTGCAGTTAATAACGCAACATACGTTCACGTTACGCCGCAACCGCAACGAATCTAGAGATACATTGTAATCTAACGTAAAATTAATAATGTTTAACGTCATTGACAAGTATCGTAATGGAAGAACGACTAGCGAGTTAAATGGTATATCCGATAAGTCTCCCGTTATATCACATTACAATCGGATCACGCGCGCAATGTAATAATGGTAAATAATTATCGCATAATTATTATCTCACCACTTCAGATAATCTTCTTAGCATTATCGTAACAATTCATAATTAAGCGTATTTTAACACGATAAACACATGATGATGACGATGCTATCAGATTTCCTGAGAATTCTATGTATTTTATTGAGCCCAGCTCAAAATTACCATAACGGAGCCATATCGTCTCGCGTAAAAAATTATTGTCATTGTGAAAGCCACTATGCACCTCTCACGATTCTAACAAAAAAAAATAATATATATATATATATACACACACGTGTACATGTGCGTATTCCTAATACACGATTACGGCCATAATCTGGCATCTATTGTTTTGGCACGATAGCATTATTTAGCGGTAAAAAAAAATCGATAAGAGAACCTGTCTCTAAGTAAATATACTAAATAAAAGTGTATCGTTTATTTTTTTTCTCTCGAACGTAGTAAAAACTGCGTTCGCAATAGGAACTTCTTTTTTTGGAACAAACACGATTTTCAATATTTATCTTGTCCTTTCGCACGCACTATAACGATAATGAACCAATCGTTGCGCGTTCACAAGCTTAATCGACGTATGAATCGGCGTGTCCCCGTATTGTCGGACTATGTCCTAAGCTGTCCGCGGCTCCGCGATAAAAATCAAGTCTGCACCCTGTTACCCGATGTTCTAGATCGGGCGGCGCAACGTCGGTTTAACCGAAAGTCAAAAAGGAACAAAAAAGAAAGAAGACGACGGGCGCGCGAATAAAAGGCCGCATTTTACTGAATTTTAGGCAACAAATATAAGATCTTATCAAACGTCGTCTTCTTTAAATCATCGTCGTATTCGACATACGGGGACAGTTGTTCATTCCGAAATTCGGATTCAATCCTATCACTTGATTCGTCTTTGAGTTCCGCGTCAGGGGTGTATGATGCGACATTGAGTCTACGGAGTGTTGCCACTGCCAGCAACTGCGACAAAAATATCGGAAGCATGCCTGGAAAAAATGCATATACATGTCAATATATGCATATCTAAGTTACGGAAAAATATAAAGCTATGAACGCAACAATCCAGATGCAAAATCACTTATGGAAGACTAAAATTTTATGTTAAATAAGATCAAATTATATTATTTTCATACCACATCGCGGCAGAAATAATGTCCTTGTTGCACAACACATACGGAGCATATCGATTCTTCGATGTACGGATCCACTTGTACCTGCAATATGCAAATACGAAGTTTTTAGATATGAATAAGTTGATTAATAAGTTTTAAGTTTTTATATATAATTTTATTTACTATATTATAATGTACCTTCTTTGTAAATTTGTCAGTCTTAATTTCTATGAACGAAGCAGTGATCGCTTTAAAGTACGATTGTTTTGTACTGAATGTAACACGGCCGGATCCTATTGGATATTTATGTTTATCCGTATCGATACCTAAAAAAATATATTATTTTTTTAAATGTGTGTAATGAACAAAAAATTGTTTAAAATAATTGTAATACGCTTAAAAACATAAAACAAAGTATAAGATTTAAAATACAATAATAATTATAAAATAATGATAGTTATATACCTGCATAAATAACACCATGGAAAAGATCATCCATAACTTTCGCTAATCCTGCAGCCGTTAACATTCCGTGCAATGCTCCAACGAATACCGTTTTGTGTGCATCGAGTCTCTGTGATGAAGATTTGATGTAGTTGCTATTCTCGAGAACCCATGGAATCACTTGTACCTAAATTGAAATTAAATGAAATATAATTGAAAAGTTAATTTTAACGATACCTTTTCAGATATTTATATAGTATCTTTAAAAAAAGAAAAAAGAAAAAACCTACATCTTTCGGCTTTGAACGCTTGGATATAATCTTGTAATACCATCTTTTGCCGTTAGTAATATCATGAGTGCAACAGGACAACATTGCCCTGACCTAGAAAGTACATAATTAAGTACATAATTATATAAATTTCTATCTAAAAGATTAACAAATATCTGTCAAATATCAATGCAAGCTGAATTTGTACCTGCTTCTCTGATTCGAATATAATATAAGCGTATCCTTTTGGTTGAGCGGACGGTGCTTTTGCGGGCCACTCTACACGGACCGGCCCAAATTGTTTAAATGTAGAGATCAAAATAGCTTCTGTAACATCCCATGGTACACCTCCCAAGAAAACTTTAGGTGAATAGGCGACTGGTTCCTCGGTATTTAGAGGCAGAAAACCGCTCCATGTACATGTTGGATAACAATGTGCTGAAAAAGTGTTTTCACCTATTCAAATTTATCTCATCGATATATTCAAGCCTAAATAAATTTAAACATATATAAAATTCTTAATGTTTAATAGTCTTAAAATTTGTAAGGTGTGATGTTCTTAACAAACAAAAATGTTTTCCAAATTCGTGAAAGACTCGTTAATAAAACATAAATACAAATTTATATCAATTTATATCAAATTTATATCTTGTAAATATAAATTATTAAAACAATTTATTACATTATATAATCATATATAATAAGACGAGATAATTGTAATAATCTTTTATATATAGATACATAGATATACGCACCAGCGGCATTTCGGTGGGATCTCGCTACCCTATCAAGTGACACTGGTTGAGCCAATCTGCGTGCGGCGTTTCCAAGACCGGTACAACAATTTTTCTCATGACTCAAGAGAGAATTGAGAAAATTGCTGCGATTTTGCCCGAGTCCGTGATGATGCTGATAATAATGTGGGCTCGTTGAATTCTGTTGTAACGATGACAAGTACTTTTTTACAGCTATACGCTCGAATGCGGTTCTATTGCTTGGGCATGTGTTTGTCTTCGATATTATAGAATCCAGGGACGGCGGAAAGCAAGAATTCGATGAGGAATTAAGTGATAAACAATTCTATAAATAAAAGTTTTCGATAACAACGTTATGTTAGAGAATGAAACAAGAACTCGGGCAATAAAATATTTTCTTGCTAAAAATACTCTTACCATTATTATATCGGATAAAGATCCATCCGCACTACCAATACCGCTTGTTTCCGAGTCAGCTGGTGAGTTGGAACGCGAACCATTACATCCCAGAAAATGAGAAAATTCCAATGTTGGGCTGCCACAATCACTAATACCAATAAATTATTCAAGAGATAGCAAATGTATAAAAAACTAATAATTAAAGCTGAATATATTGTACATTAATTTAACTAATAAAATAGAATATAATTAATACATTTAAATATATAACACTATTAAAAATTTGATATTACTCTAGAAAATACTATTTTGCAAGTTTTATCTTACATCCATTAGATTTATGAAATACGCTCTTGCAATACTTTATTCTCAGTTTCCTGATTTTCTATTTACCTGTAAGGTGTAGAGCAGCCTCGAATAGGACGGCCAAAGTATGATGAATCGCTAGGTGATGATGAAGAGCCAGGGTATTGGAATGATGGTCGGCTAGTTGGTGAGGATGGTGTGTTGCTATTACTGGCAGTGGATGAGTAACTATAAGGGTCCGAGATGAAACTGCCGGGTGTGCTCGGACTGCCGGGAGTAGTTACGGAGTTTGGTGAGCTCGGAATATCCAAACTCGAGGAATTCGAGCAAAAGCCATGATTTCGATGACACTGTGCATAATTATATATTATATAATAATATACTTATAATTTACTTATTGCGATATTGACATCAATGAGAGTCACCGTGCAAGATTTATTTAGTCTGTCTTGCATTTGACAAATTTTTTTTTATAACATATGATAACAAATGATGTAGAGAACTGAAGTCATCAAATTTGAATTTGTATATCTTGATTAAGCAACATATTGAGCCTTGCGTTTCAAAGAGGAAAAGATGAGAAATGTGCAATGTCGACGCACGTGTTTTAAAGTATTTGGAATAAATTCAAATTGAAACGCAATATTACACGACAGTGTGAGAATATGAGAAGAGAGTACGATCTTTTGAAATGGCAGCAACTTTGCGTCGGTTCGGATAAAAGGGAGGCGAGACGACATGCCGTTCTAATAGAGCCGTTTGGCTCGGAATAGCGGATTCTCGGTTGTCGAGATTGTTTTAGTACACTATTCATTTTATTCAGGTCATTACACTCACGCGGTAAGCTAACCTTTTTACTGAAGAACTGTTGATAAATAAAGATATGATTTTGTTCTTCAGTATTTAAAGTACTCAAATATTTATTATATATATATATATATATATATATTTAATAGCTAAATGAACAAATGACAAATCAAATTTCTACTAGGAAAAAACCGGTTGCAAATTTATCACAAACTAAAATGAAAAAAATGACATGATGATATCGCGATATCCATAATACATAATACGAACGAATCGTTAGACACTACAATCGTAGAAAAGGGATGATATAAGGTAATTGGAGTTATTCCAATGACCATTGTTCGAACGGTTATTACACCGCTGAGTAAATGTCTCTAGCAATATGCTTTATGTTACATTTATCATTTTTATTGCTATTCCCCGCGTAAAAATTTGCAACTCACCAAAGAGAATTATTATTGTAATTGTATTTTTCGTTAAATTATTGTCAAGTTGAATATGTTTTTATTTCATGCAAAATAATGTCGGTTAATAATAACGTTATAATATTCAATATAATCTTTTGTGAAACATAATCAATGCGAAATAAATTGCTAAACATAAAATGTTACATAATTAAGTAAATGTGTGCGTAAAATAAATTTGTAAAAAAAAAAAATTGCATATTATCACAAATTTGTTTTTTAAAAATATTATATATATATACATACAATTTTATTAATATTAATAATTTTAAAGCATATATACAAATTTGTGAGAATGTGCAGAAAATAATTTTCAATCAATATGCTATTATTTAAATTAATAATTTATTTTTGTGATTAAGCTGTATCATTTGTCAATGAAACAGATCACATTATTTCAACTTGAGATTTTTTTAACGCTCTATTTTGTATCTCATAGCGATAGTAAGTCTTATCATGACATACCAGCTGTATTGACTCCTACTGATCCACCTACTTTAATATTATTAACCAGTTATAATAAAAAAACGCGTTAAATGTTTTGTCGTATTTGTGTTTTTAATTCAGGTTAATCGCTCAAATGTATTCGACATTGCAATAAGAATAAACTCTTTCTTTTAATAATTTCATTAGAAACAAATTCTTTTGAAATAAATAAATCTCAAGAAACGAATCAGTCCCTTGTCAAATCGGTAAATAATTTTACCTCATATTGTTGTTGTGAAGATCCCTGCGTTTGATCGTAACCACCGTATTGATAATTACGGTAGCTCGAGGAGCCAATCGTCGACTGGTTTCCCATCAGTGATCCTCGGGGGCAAACCCAACCCGAACATATCTGAGATTGTGCTGTCGCCTGGAGAGAAAAGAAACCATTATCCTAATCATCCTTGATTGGCTTCAATCCCCACGAAGAAACGGAGGAGAAAATGCACAAAGACACGGAATGTAACGTATAAAAAAAAAAAAAAAAAAAAAAAGTGAATCATTTTTTCATAAACGAATCGCAAAATCGGAGGATATCTAGTTTCAAATAATCAGATGACGGAATTTGTAGAACTGTCATCGATCAGTCGTTAGTTGTGTCAAGTGACATTCGTGACAGTCGTCTTACCATCGGTGCTAACGTTCTTGTCCGACTGGGAGGAGGCATCCTGAGAAAAGCTCGGGAGGTGCGAGGGCGAGGGCGGGGGTGGCAGATCGAGCAGCAAATTGTTGATCGACTGTAACTGGTGCAGTCGCTCGCGCTCTTGCTCGCGTTCCTTGCCGCGCTCTCGCTCGCGGGTTTGACTCAGCTTACGCAGCAGTAGCTTGCTGCGTTCCCGATTCTGCATCGCATCCTGATGATGCAACGGATCCTGATGGTGCATCGATACACTTCGGTCGAATCCGACGTCTGTCTCGTCGCCCTCGTCTCCCACCAGTGAAATGTCCGACTGCAAAATCAACGTTTACTCATCAATTATTTTCACATACACGTGTTGGCCCACCCAGATGAATCCTGAATATTTTCGGGAAGACGGATTCTCTCTCCTCCGCCCGCGATTTGGAAGTCATTTCTCTTTATGCTGAAATAAAAAAAAATAAAAAAAAAAATCTCGAGGCACCAAGAACTTTCGGAAGTTTTAAATGATCGATTCTAGGAAAGAAGAATTGAAGGACATTGTGAGCTACTTCTTATTACTCTTACTGTTTAAGTAGTAAAAGCGACACGTGCCGTAAGCCGAGTACGTGAATGGAAATTAGATACGTAAGGCTGATTTCTCCGAGAAAGTAATTTTCGTCGTAATTTTTAGTGTCATCGATATCACTTGGTCAGGAGAGTGCAATTCCACGTATATTTTACATTAAAAATGTGTCAGATTATTATATTCTTATTAAAAAGAAAAAAAAAAAAACAACG